CTGCTCGGCCAACTTTAGCTTTAACCGTATGCATACACATCTACAATGAGATGTCAAAATCCCATTTTAATAGATATTTACTACTACCTCCGTCCCATATTTATCTTCATAGTTCGGTTTACGATGCTTGACTGACGATAAAACAACTCGATCCCTGTTCACACTCGGAATATTTTTAGTAAATAAAATTTACATATTCAGAAACTACATTAAAACCGCTACAAAGCCTGATCAAGAAAATTTAAGTTTGATAAAAATTTGATACATAAAGTAAAAGATTAAGAGTAATTTGAGTTGACCATGTGAATAGTAACTATGAAGATAATTTTGGGACGGAGGGAGTAATTTTAAGGAAATTTAGAAGTGCCCATCCAGACATAAAAGCTGTGGAGATTTATACCTATATAGTTAATATCAGTAAGTTGGATATGCCCATCATTGATTTTTTGAAAAAAATAATTGTGTTGGTTTTTTGAAAAAATATGCCCATCATTGAATTATTTGAAAAAATAATCGGGTTGATTGGATATGCAAGGATGAAAAATATGCTTTAATCAGGTTTAGAGCATCATGATTAAAATTCCAAAGGTTTGTAAATCATTTCACATGCAGCTGCGGAATATAGTTTACTGTTCATAGGAGTCTAGCAGATGTTTCTGGGATCATCTTTCATTTTTTTTCAGATATGCTGACTTTACTTTTGGTTCGCAAAACTCATTTTTACTTGCAATTAGAACTTGGTTTATTTAAAAACACTATTTTCACATTATGTTACTCTTTAAATTTCATCTTCAAGATCAATCTTTGCCTACTCTTTAAAAACTCAGTGGTGTTACAGGTATTGACTATTGAATATCTTTAAAATTGAGTATTATATAAGATCTCACATGGCTGTTCGAACATTAGTAAAAATTAAATAAAATAGTGAAAATGAATTTTTGTACCTGAATGGCTGAATCGATAAAGTCGTATGAAATGGAGGCCAAGAATAGGCAATGTTCAAATATGCATAGAGCTAATCAAACATAGTAGAGCTAACCAGGTTTAAAGCATCATGATTTAAATTCCAAAGGATTGTAGATCACTTCACAAGTTCACATGTCTTGGTTCTAGACAACATTTCTTTCATACAAATAATCTCAAAGTGTAATCTCATGGAAATTTTGCACTTAGCAACTCCACTTTTGATTTTGTGAATATATAGCGAATTTTGTTCAATTGGTAATGATATATTTACTTTTGAATAGGTGTTGGATGTACTCTGTGAACCAAACTGACTATAATTGTATTCAAAGTTTACATCATAGTCACTATACTATATCATACTAACTTGAAGTTTTCTTGATTGCAACTGGATCTTCATAAAGGTGCATTTGCTTCAAATTAATTTTTTTATTTAATTTTCAATTATATCTTCTTAATTGATGAAAAAAGTGTTTTTAATTTAAACCAAGTTCATCCTGCTTTTTTTTTTTACAACTCTTCGTACTCCAATATTCTTTTATCATAGAAATTGGCATTTTAATTGAAGGAAGGTTACTCTATGAGCACTAAAAAGTGAAAACTTATCATCTATTGATCTACGCAATTCATGTTACATCTATAAAGATTTTAAGTTGTGTTAATATAGCTAGGCATTTCATGCTCCTTCTCAAGATGATATCCTCTATTTATACATCTACTCTTTTTACTTATGAAGTATATATATATATGTATTTCAAGGTGCAGGCATGGTTGGACTGCATGGTTTTACTAACCGATCAAGACAACCACCCAGGACATTAAAGAATGATTTATCAAGTGACTTTCTACTGTGCCGGTATCAATTCCGGAGAATATATTCTTAATGTCAATTGTAAACTGTACTTATTTTTATGAGTACACTTTAAAGTTAAATGTTACTCCGTATTACTTTTGTGTTATTATAATGAATACTTTCCCCTTAATAAATGATGATTGTATATTATCCCTTTTAGTACTATAAATGAATGAAGTATTTTTATGGCTGTTTTTTCTCTTTTAACTTTTTGGAGTTCCTTTCCATCATTTTTGGAGATAAAGACACTATTTTTTTGGCTTGGAATATGACAAAATAAAACAAAATGACTTACTAAATTGTCTGCGTTTTTTTGTGAATTGTGATGAAGCAACAATTCGTTTATGCATTTTTAACATGAATTTCATCATGGGTCATCCTGAAAAAGTCTCTCTGAGTTTTATTACATGAGTAAGACTCTAACCCCCCTAATCACACCGTAGTCCGTAGGTGAGAGTTTTTGCGACACTGGGGTAAAGATGATGGCGAAGTTTTTGGAGTTCAAATTTTTTAACTATACGTCTACATAGAAAACTATATGTCTACATCATTTCAAAGAATTTAAGAGAAAAAAGTCAAATAAATTCTTTTACTATTTTCGATCCATCACACAAGTCTTTATACTTTAAAAAAATATCATACAAGTATGCTTACTTTAAGAATATAATCAACAAGGCCATACTGACATGTTATAGAAGGTTATTTTAAAAAAATAAATAAATTAAGAGACTGATAAATCGTATAAAAAAGTATACTGCTATAATTTTGAAAAATGTAATACTCCCTCCGTCCCACTGGATTTTGCCCACTTTCCCTTTTTGTTTGTCCAAAAAAATTTTGTCACTTTCCCTTTAAAGCAATGAATTTGTGGCTCTGTTCATTTCTCTCTCCTCTGCACAAATCTCAACCACACAGTTTTTACTATTCTAATTTTCCACCTAACATCAACTTGGCAAAGTTGAGTGGGACGGAGGTAATAACAATGTAAAAATAGAATAAATTGAAAATGGATAAATAATTTAATAATGTTGAAATAAAAAATAAAAAAACAAATAAGAAAAATAGATAGAAATTGAAATAAAATTGAAAAATAATGAATACAATGAATAACGAATTATAAAATTGAAATGATTTAATAAATATAAGTGAAAAAATTAAGTGAAAATGTAAAATATATAAAATTAGAAATTTACAAACTTTTTAAATAGATTTAGAATATACATATAATTCCAAAAATGAATAGATATTGACCTTTCCATTCTTAGAATTTTCTTACTTCGAATTTTAACATTTTGTAAGAGTTTTGTAAAATAAAAATTTGCTATTACAAGACAAAAATGGATTAATTGGTTGGACTGATCAATTTTTTAAAACAAGAGAACAAATTATGATACATTTTTTAGTATAGGGGTTTAACTAAAAGATTGAAAATAATAAAAAAAGTTATTTGATTATTTTCCTACAATTTAAGAATTATGAATCGCATCCCGTGCAACGCACGGGTGAAAAATCTAGTATATTATATATACATGTACTTAGAAAGATCTGTCTAGGTTCAACTTATATGTTTAAAATTGAAAGCTAAAATGTGTCCATATATAGAGATCACATATTATATTTTAACTTAGTACTACTTTAATTAAATTGAAATAGTTAATGCGGGGTACTTTTCATAATTGAGCCGGCTGAAATCAAATGAGCTACGTGCTCAATAAAGAGCACGCAGCGTGCTCGTTAAAATTTTCGGTCTATGGTACCTTCAACAAAAAAAGAAACTTTAATTACACTTATTTTGATTACTACATGATTCAGTGTGCGAAATAGAAAGTTACATTTCTGTTAATAAAGTAATCGATAAGGCTGATAAGTTCAAAGAGATTTATTAAACTGGCTCTAAATAAGGCGACAGCTATATTACTGATTACCATGAAAGAGAGAGTACATTAGTACATGTTAACTTTTAGGTAGATTCTATGGTACCCATAAAGTACCATACATTTGTCAACATGGATCAATAAGAATGTAGCAGTTGACTTATTTAAATCTAAATAAAAATGATAAAGTGGTGTGGTCCAATCAAATGAATGATAGGTACGTATCCCATATTTTAGAAAGGTACCGGGTTGTCACCTTTTAGTTTAATAAACCATCACTATTTCAACAACTTACGGAGTATACAGGGGCGGATCTACATGTTCTTCAATGGGGGCACATGCCCCCAATAAAATGTGAAATTTTAGTGTTATTAAATTGTATTTTAATGATAAAAGTGGAAGTGCCCCCAATTAAAAAATAAGGATGCCCCCAACAAAACACTCACAATCCCACCTCACTAAGTTTTTTTTAAAGAATCCTACGTCACTAAGTTGATCATCCAAAACCCACTAATCAATTAAAGAATTTTCATATTTTATAAGGCTATTTTTTGTTAGTAATCCTCGCATTTTATTTTTGCATATTTTATAAAAATATGACTAAAATAAGTATCAGCGTTTTTATCTTGAGGATATGTATTCTTGATTTTTATTTTCCAACTAAGAGTACTCTGAAAAATTTTCATTAGGGAAATATGTTTACATGTACCCTTATTTTGGAAATAAGATTAAAGACCGAGTACCTTTCCTCCGAAAAATCATGTTACTACGAGTATAATGTCATGGTTACTTAAGCGTAAAAAAACACATATATTACTATGAGAAAGTTATATATTCTAAATATTAAGCTCAAATATGTGTATGTGTGCGCGCGTCTGCGCGTCTGCGCATTTATTTAAAAAACAATTACATATTTATAAAGGTATTTTACAAGAATGTGACATCTTAAATGTCATAATTAGTTAATACACTTAAATACGGAATAAGTAATTGTTCAAATAAATGTGTGTGCGTATTGAGCTTAATATTTAAAATATAAAAAGTTTTAACTATGAGATTGATTTTAAATATAATATATATTTGAAAAATATTTGAACTAAACCTTTTAAATGATGCTCCCAATAACCTTTTTTCCTGGATCCGTGGGAGTATATGATTAAATATTTAACCAAAGTTATAGTTTAATGTTGAAAGTGAAACAAATTAATGCTATGTGATCAAATTCAAACTAACTTAAAATGATTATCCAAGTTAATAAGGTGTATGGAGTATATCTATGTTTTGATAATTTACTAATAATATGATACAAATAGTTCAAATAAATAATCATAACTTATGATTAGGCAAAATTTTATCGACTCATTCTAAGTACACGTTTTCTCTCAACAGGTTCAAATCAATTTCCGCACCATTCGATCATAAGTTCATAAGTTGATCTGATCGACTGATCCCATAGGCAATTTACATACAAATTAATTGTTCTAAGCTAATTAGGAGCTATCAATTAACAATAAACCCTATCTAACGGTCCGTCATACAAAATCAAATATAAGAAGCGAGTGACTTTGATCTAGACAAGGAGGCGTTGATGAATTTGATGCAATCATCTATCGCTTCAGCTCTGTGATCGTCAGTTCCGATTGAATTCCGGCGAGGAGCGGAAGCTGTACACGAATAATTGCTTCCGGCCACCATCCCTTGCTGCCTCGATGATTTACTGCTGTAGTGGGATGAAGACGAAGATGATGACGAAAACGATGATGAAGAGTCAAGTTTGCGGCATTTCACCGGCGAAATCATCCGCAGAGCCTCCGCCATACTTCCGCTGAATCGCTTGAGATAGTATCGGAGAGGATGAGCCAATTGCGATGACGATCTCTTCGCCGGAGCCTTCAAGCTGCCATTTCTGGTGAACTTGATCTGTTTCTCGAACACTGCCTCTGTTCTCTGTTCTCTGCCTCTCAACATCTTTGATTATCCGATTATCTCTCTAGACAGTTTCTTATGAATTTAATTTCTGGAAGGTGAGTGAGGAAGACGTAGAGTGGACTCAGTGGAGTGACATATATATATATATATATATATATATATATATATATAGAGTATATATATATATATATATATATATATATATATAGGTATTGGAGGAGATGGAAGATAGAAAAGGGACCAAAATGATGGAAAGGTGAGGGACAGAAAGGGCACAGATCTTTCGGAGTTTTGTGATGGCAGAAGACCGAACACATTGTCCGCCCTACAATGCTTCTGCTCTGCTTACAACCATGACCTACATACAGGTCAGAATTATTTGAGTACCTAATTCAGTACGTTTTTTGTAGACGATTTTTGTTTGATCTTTTGATTTGGTGGTCACCTAGTTCTATAATAATTAAACTAAGAAAAGTAGGATTTTTTTTGCTTGATTGACTGAAATTACCGTTATTATCATTTTAGTTATTTGTTCAAATGATTTTTCTTTGTTTTATTACTTCCTCCGTATCATTCATATCTTCCCACTTTTTTGTTCGTCTATAATATTTATATCTTCTGATTTCTAAATATTCTCATCATACCTTCAATAATTTTGAAAATAATAAACTATTACAACTACTACGTATTTCTTTTGGATTTATCCTTAATTTCAGCATACTATTTCTTTATCTTCTCATCATACACTCAAGAATTTACATCTGCTCTCACTATTCTTAATCTCAACTACTTCTAAACGGGAAGATATATATGTTACGAAAGTAGTACTAAAACAGTTAATCCAGTCACTTCAGTCTGAAATTCATAAATCTCGGCAACATTAACCAATTCAGTCAATTTTAATGTTTTAATTTGTTCATTTTCTTGTCTCTCAAAATATTTTTCCACCTCATATTTGGTTACATTTATGGAAACTCTTAAAAATACAATATGAACTGTACAATTTCAATTTTGTTGGTGCTGTGAAAACAATTTTAAAGTTAAAAAATTATAAAAGTTGCTGAAATGATTGACAATGGCATGCGCGTTCTCATTTTTAGATATTGTTTACTTCATTTCACCTAGCACATAGATAGTTCTCCTTTCCGAAAAAGGATTGTCCTTTTGACTATGTATATGGTGAAAGTTTTATTCTTTTTGTGGTATCACATTTTTATTACATTGAATCGGGTACTACTAGTTTGATATCTTCTTACATATATACAAGGCCATCTTTTAGGCGATAGGTGTTTGGCACCGGATCCACTTCCATAGGGAACCCCCAAAAATCTAGTATGATAGTATTCCTTTCGTCTCTTACAATTATGTCATCTTTTTCGAGATATCCTAAAAGTTTTGTTACTTTCTATTTATTAAATCAATTTGTGGTTCATGTTGTGTCTCTATTCTCTATATAAAACTCAATCACACGGTTTGTACTTATTATTCCATGAGTCGGTTAAACTTGACAAAGTTTTAGGAACAATATAGTAGTAGTTATAGGTTGATTTTTCTATATGTTATGTGTTACTCCATATTCCAAAATGTGTATAACTTTAAATTATTTCATTTTGTAATTTAACATTATAAAACTTATATATATATTGTACTATCTAGTCTCTTTGTATTTTATTGTTAGATTTTGTATTCAACACAAGATTTATTAGAGGGAGCTTCAATTCATCATTTGGAATTGGGGCTTCCAAACTTCTTAGAGGGTGCTGAATATATGTCGAACAACACAGGATTGATTCAATGGATTAACTCATTCGATTTAATGTCTTATAAACTCATTCTTCTCTCGTCAATATATTGATGTGGCTCTCTAACAAAAGAGTTGGGATCAAAATGTGCTACTTCTCACTTTTACCAACCTACTCATTCAAATTCTTATTACATTAAAAAGTATCAAGCGCCACTCGAGCGTTACTCATAAAGATTAATGAGTCAAATAAATATATGCTATTCTAAATGATTATTAAGGTAGCCACGAAGTAAATTAAAGTGGTGAACACAATGGAGCATAAGGTTTGTTTAAAGTTGAACCAATGCCAAGTTAAGTGGCTTTTTATGTTGTTCTTTATGCCTTTAACTTGTTTTCTTTTTTGTCACTAGCTTGTGTGAGGGCTTTTCTGCTATCATTATATACGACTGCTACATGATAGTGGGATGCTATACAACTATATTGATTATATATAAATAGCTAGAATACATATTATTTACAGAATTCATCACTTTACATCATTAAAATGAAATTTACACAGAGCATAAAAATCTAGTTCATCATCATTACTGTAGTGTTGAAAGACTCCCACCTGCGATGGAGTAAGAGCATCGAAAATTACATGGACTACTGCTGCTTCATAACAAAGAAGCGCAGACAATTTAGTGAGTCATTTTGCTTTATTTCATCATATACTCATGTCAAAAAACAGTGAATCTTTGGTTATATTGCAAACGATGGAATGCGCATAAAAATTTAGCTACCTGAATAAAATCGTTGAGTGATCAAGTTTTTTCTATTAAACAATCATAATCTAGTGTCTAATAAAAAATTAGAATGTACATACAAATGTTGATGGAACACGAACATGTTATATAAAATGGGTTACTCATGAACCAATTACATGGTCCATATATATCAATAAGTACTCACTTCATATTTGGTCTAAACTCTAAAGGACCGTAGAGAGACATTTGTGTTTGTATGTTCTACCCAAATCTTTGTTAAAGTAATATTTTCCGGAGTAACAAGAACATGATAATAAACCCTACCTACTCATTAATCGGGGCCAGACTTTAAGTTTTAACTCCTAACTAGGCTTGCAATTTTGACAAATTTCACGTGTTGCGGGGAAGGCGTGTCTTGGATATATATACGGAGTATATAAAATATCAAGGGCTGAAGTAAGGTTAATTAAAAGTTAGGGGCTAAAAGAAATATACACCCCGCTCTACATTGGATCCGGATTTTATGCCCGAACCGATCATATCGGACTATCCATTTCCCAATCCCACATTCTCAAATGTCGAGAAATGGATACTGGATAGGCTTTTGGGATTTGGGTAGTTTGTGGATAATTGACACTCTCTGTTCATACTCTCAAGCTCTAACCTCTGGGCAACAATGGCGATCTCTTCCACATCTTCTTTCTCTTCATCTGTTTTTATCTCTACTCCACTCCCAAAAGCCCCATCTAAGCTCAAATTCATGAAATTCCCCAAGCTCAAAGTTTCTCGATTTGCGTCCGTCCGTGCAGAACTCGCGACCCTCCCGGTCCTTTCTTTCGACGGCGACCAAGTCGGCTCCGCCACTCTCGACCTAAAGACCGCCCCTCCCCACACCGCACGCGCGGTCGTCCACCGTGGTATCACTACCGACCTCCGTAATAAGCGCCGAGGCACCGCCTCCACCCTCACCCGCGGAGAGGTTCGCGGCGGCGGAAAGAAACCCTACCAGCAGAAGAAGACGGGTAAGGCGCGGCGTGGGTCTCAGCGTACTCCTCTCAGGCCCGGAGGGGGAGTCATATTTGGGCCCAAGCCCAAGGACTGGTCCATCAAGATCAACAAGAAGGAGAAGAGGCTTGCCATTTCCACTGCCCTTTCTAGCGCGGCTAAGAATTCCATTGTTGTAGAAGAATTCAATGATAAATTCCAAACACCCAAAACCAAAGAGTTCATAGCAATGATGAAGAGGTTGGGTTTGGACCCGAAAGAGAAATCAATGTTCTTGATGACGGAGATGTCTGATAATGTTATGCTGTCAAGCAGAAACCTTGGGAAATTGAAGATGCTAACACCTCGGACTATGAATTTGTTCGACATCTTAGACTCAGAGAAACTAGTGTTTACTAAATCCGCTGTTGAGTTCTTGAATCAGAGATATGGAAATGATAACAACTGGGAGAATGATACTGAATTTGATGAAGAAGATGATGTGGAAGATGAGGAAGGTTAGTTCGATGCTTCTTTCTGTGATGCATAAGAATGTTTCTTTAAAGTTTGGATATGTAGGATTTAACAAGTTTTTATTTTTAGGATTCACAAAGTTTTGATCTTTAGGATTAATAAATCCTTGGTTTTTATTGCAGGATCGGAGACGGATGAAAATCCGGATACTTTGGAGTGATCTGCAACTAGTCAAAGACATAGTTTGGCAGACATTCCATTTATTTTGATGTGTTCAATCTTTGTAGAGTGTGTTAGAATTGTTAATTGATTTTTGAACAATCATGTATATCTACACTCACTTTCTGCTCTATAGGTGGCGTGTGGTGTTTTAAAATGATATATTGGTGCATCAATGGCTGCTTACTCTGTTTAGTCATTTTGCTCTGGATTTGCCATGCTAAATGAATTCCTACTGTATTTTGTTATAGTTTCTTTGCTCTAGATTATGCTATATTTAGATCCTGGAAAATGCTAGGGAAATGAATTGAAAATGACCGAGAAAATGCAAACGGAAATAAAATATGAGTGATATTTTAAAACATTTTACCTGCATATTGATCACTTATTTATAGAAATGAATTAATAAAAAATAATGCTATCGAACATAAAAAAAATTAATTGTTTGAATCAATATTTTATTTTACTCAACATTTTCTTGTCTTCAAAATTTTCTACTATATTTTCCCCTGGCATTTTTCACATGCAAGTAGAGCCTTGAAGAATTGCAGCATCGCGCAAATGCCATGGCATGCATTTATACTTTGTTTACTCGTGTATAATGCAACTGCTGATCAGTATAGTTCTTATGAGTAAAATGTATTTACTTTTTTACTGGCATTGGGTTTCTGCACTTTTGCTCGGAGGATTATACATGAGTCATTGAGTAATTGGGTTTATGAGCTTTTCACATGAACCATATACCATTTCCCTTTCCCTAGTAAATATGAAATATCCTACTGGATCCAAATGTGGATTATTTTCTCTTTTAAATGCTTACTTGTCAGCTAGAAGTGGCATTGATTGCTATTTTCCTAGATTATAAACCTGGTTCAGAGGCATTGAACTGCTCTGTTCAGTATCTGGGTTCATTTTTTTCATAATTATCTCGGTTAGACTTTTCTTTTTT